AAAAAGAAAAATTAAATATATATTAATATTATTATTTTTATTATAAATTAATATAATTTTTTTTATTATTTATATTAAAAAATTATAGAAAATATATATTAATATATTTATTATTTTTTTTATACATATTTAAAGTATATATATTAACATTTATTTTCATTTTTAAATTTAAAAAAAAAAATTCTAGGCCGCGGGCGGCGGCCGAAACGCGGCTTCGAGCCGCGTAGACGGCCGCGCTCCGCGGCATAATATGGGGAGGCCGCGTAGTACCGCCACAATTACGGCGCGGCCTTAAGAAAAATTAATTTTCGTGTAAAATTAAAAAAAAAAATACCTGGTTATTCCTTAAACTTTTGCCGCGTCCGGCCATGTTTTTTGGAACTTTTTTCGAATTTTTTTCCGCGTCCTTAAGATTTTTTTCGAAATATGTTGAAAATTGTTTTTTTTTTGTAATGTGAAGTGAGAGATGCGAGAGAGAAAAGTGTATTTTTTGAGTGCGGTAAAAGGTATTTGGGTGCGGTATTTAGTAGTTGAGTTTTTGAATATTTGTTACTTGAGTATAAATAATTACTATTAATAGATTGCAATTAATATTGGCGGGTTTTTTTGCTACTATTTATGGTAAATAGTAATTCTTATTATATATATAGATTTCAAGTGGAACCAATCAACATGGGTCAAAATTGCCAAAACCATTAAATTAGTGCACACATTGCCAAGACACTCGTCCAACTATGCCAGTTAGAGCATCTTTAATGGGTAAGGTTTATAAACCTTACTTTTTACATTCTCAATACTCCACATCATCTAAACCTCATTCTCACTCCCAATATCATAAACCTCCAATAACCATAAACCTCACAAACCTTCTTTTAGTGGAGGCCCCATGTTTCCCACTTACTTTAATCTATATATCAATTTAATTCATATTTACTAAAAACACTAATTTTTTTTTACAATGACATATTTATTGTATATCATAATAAATATATTTTACGTATAAGTGAAATTTATTATACATAATCCTTACAATAATATAAAATATAAAAAATTACACGTCGACAAAAAAAAAATAATAATAAGAAAATTTGATTACACATAAACCTTACAATAATATAAATCTTGAAATTATATGGCGATAAAAATTAAATTTTTCATACATGATCGATATATTACTCTTAATAATCAGGTTCATTCCATATATGTTCAACTAGGTCATGCCTAAGTTGATGATGAACCTATCTGTCTTGCACTTCGGCTCGTATTTGCAAGTAGCGACGAAAATTGTTGGATGACCTTGATGTGTTTGGATAGGTGATTCACCATCTTCATTGGACCAATTGGTTGCCTCCTCACCCTCATCCTCAATTATTATATTATGTAAAATAATACACGATAACATTATTCCGCTCAGATCTTCTTTGTATCAAAAACGAGCTGGACCACGTACAATTGCCCATCTTGACTGGAGCACTCCGAAAGCACGTTCAACATCTTTTCTTGCAGCCTTTTGTCGTTGCTTAAACTTTTTCCTCTTTGGATCCTCTGGATATTGAAAGCTTTTCACAAATGTTGCCCATTCCGGATAAATACCATTTGTTAAGTAGTAACCTTTTTTTTTAACGAGTCCCATTTACTGTAAAATTTACCTCCGGTGCTACCCCATGTAAAACATCGTTGAATAGTGGAGACTCGTGTACCACATTAATATCATTTCGTGATCCAGCGAGTCCAAAAAAAGCATGCCAGATCCACAAGTCTTGTGAGGCTACAACTTCAAGCATTATTGTGGGTACTCCATGATCCCCTCGAGTATATGAACCCTGCCAACCCACCGGACAATTTTTCTATTCCCAGTGCATACAATCAAGACTCCCTAGCATACCTGGAAATCCATGTTTTCCCTCATGTAATACAAGTAGCCGTTGAATGTCAACATCATTGGGTGAATGCAAGTATTGGGATGAAAATATTTGCCGCACACATCGACAAAACTCGATGAGACTTCTATTTGCCGTCTGTTCTGACATGCATAAGTACTCATCACACTGATCGGCGGGTGCTCCATATACCAGTTGGTGTATAGCAGCGGTACACTTTTGAATAGGTGTAAAACCTTCTTTACCAATCACATCTTCTATGCTCTAGAAGTAATCAGAATGATTTTCAATAGAATCAACAATACGAGAAAATAAACGCCTAGACATACGAAATCTACGATGAAAGAAACCCTCGTGATAGGTGGGCTCGTTAGAAAAATAATCTCTTACAAGTAGAGTGTGTCCAGCATCACGATCCCGGTGCACTACTCGCCTTTCTCGCCTTGTTGAATTTTCAGCTTGTTCGTCCTCTTGGAACTCATTAATCGCTGCCTCCATCAAGGCAAATTCAGCTTTTGCGAGAGAATCATCAAGCATATTTTTTAAGAACGCACGATATGCTGCGCTCTCATTTGTACGTCTAGACATCTTATTGGAAATAATAAAGAGAAAAAAATGGGACTTGAGGAAAAGAAGAGTAAAGGAAGAAGCAAAAAATTATTTTGTTTGTTGAAGGTGGTGTCTAAAGGAATCCACAAATGATCCATTTTATAATGAGAAGATGGGTTGTTAAAGTTACATTTTGCAAGTGGCAGGTTACAACACGTGACCATATCTTTCAAAAGTAATTATTTTGGTTGGTGGGCATTTATTTTATTAAAATTACAATAAATGCAGCTGGATAGAACATGTTAGACAAAAATACAAAATGACAAGCATCAAAATTAAACACATTACAAATACATAAAATAAAATTACAGTACAAATTCTTCCAAACAAAATACGAGAAACATAAATAAAATACATTGTCAAATTTAATTAAGGCCCAATTCTTCTTTCATTTCTGCAAGAAGCCCGTAGTGAGCTTCTAATTCTTCTTCAGTCATAGTTGAAGTGTCTTCCTTTAGTATTTCTTTATAGGTCTTCCACGACTCTATGCGTACCAACTTCTTTATCTCCTTCTGTTGTTTTTCATGCATACTCATAATTTGTCCAAACGCATCCAACATACGTTCTGCCTTTTGATCAGTGCTACTCCCTGTGCCACTTTTTCCCTTTCTCTTTGCAGCCTTCGCTGCCTTCTGGCCGATGGGGGCGACGCACATATCTTTCATCGTCATCACCAACATGCTCCACATCTTGTCCAGATCCAGAAGTGTGATCTCCAGACTCTGATGTTCTAGATTTCTTTCCTGCACGAATAGCTCCACCAGTCCCCTGAAATTTTGGACAATTTTTCAGAATCTCCCAACAGTGAAGCCACTTGAAGCCTCTTTTTCTTTTTCCTTCATTATTCCACTCTGTTAATGCATTTTGTAGCACAATAGCATCATTTTCACCACTCCTTTGATCAGCTCGAAACCTGTTAATGGATGCATTAAATTTAAGGCAATCACCATGAAAAGCATAAACGTGAGATTTCGCTGAATCCATAGATCTTTCAATCAAGTTTCTAGCATGAGCCGTTTCATTGTAATATTGAGCGATTTGTTTCCAGAAGCCTTCAGAACTTTGTTGAGCACCAATGATAGGATCACTCGAGATAGTACAAAATGCTCGACAAAGCAACATATCTTCCTCTTGTGTCCACGATATTGCCGACGCTTTCCCTCGTCTTTTTGGCTCATGTTCTTTATTTTCTTCTGTCTCCATATTAAGACAAATATTGTCAAGACCTTCAACCTCTGGCCCCGTGGTAGCTCTTAGGGGATCTTGTGAGCCAGTAGGCTCATTACTCATAGCTGCTGGTATGAAATTTCCATGTTGAAAAGGCATGCCAAGTGAGTTTGGCATTCCATACTGAGATGCCATTGACCACATATACTGAGATTGATTCATGTTCATCGCATTTTGTTGTTGAGGGTAGGCATGGTGTTCTAAAGTTTGGGATATAGGAAACGAAGGAATTGGCTGATATGGAAAATTTTGAAATTAGGATTGCAATTGCACGGCAGGAAATTGACCAAGTACAGGAGGTATACTCCTACGATAACGAGAATTTACTAAAGATGGACTATGGTCCTCGGAAGAATTAGGCATATTGAAATTAGGTAAATTTGAGTTTCTATCCATTACAACTTCTACACTAAAATGGACATGTATGTTTTAAACTTACACAAAAACTACCCATAGTTTTATAGCCGGGTTTGCATACATATGGACATTGTAGATAAGTTTGCTATCAAATCAAGGAGCTTATCCATCCCCTAAATCAAGCTGAAAATTCAGCTTTATTTTGTGACAAGTGACAACTCAAGGCATGCCAACATTTAGTTAAATTTTATATTATTTTACATTTTTATTTTTTATATATTTTTATATTTTAATAAAATAAAAAAATAAAGTTTTATTACATATAGAAATTATGTAATGATATAACATTAAAATTTGCAATAGTGAAAATTAAAATCTAGAAAATAATTGACAAGAATTTATTAAAATTAATAACTAAACTAATTTATTAATACTAAACATTTCAAATATGTGAGTCTGTTTAACATAATGAAATACAAATATAGTTATATTTAATTTCAAATTAAATAGAAATATAGTTATTTATAACATCATGAGTCAGGTTTAACATGATTTAAAATTGATGTTTTAACCTGTTTTAATATGTTAAAAATAATTTAATAACATTAAAAAATTATTATCATAAAAAATATTACGAAATGAATTAAAAATTTAAATATTGTATTCACAAAGAATTAATAAAGGAAAACATGAAATTAGGTAACAAAGGAATTAAGAAAAAAATAAACATTATATTTTGTATGTGAAGGAAAACATGAGAATAGGTACGCTGAAAAAAAAAATGAAATTAGATTAAAAAAAAAAAGACTAAAGGGAACATGTTTGACAGGTGTGGGGTCAAAAAGTGAAGTTTATGTGAGTGTTAAATGTTCAACACCGGTTGTAATGTTAAACCTCAAAGCTCACAACTTTAGTGGTAAATATTAAAAAGTGAGGTTTACAAACCTATTAAAAACTACCTATTAAAAACCTACCGTTAAAAGTTGCTCTTAGTCCGATTGAAACGCCAAGAAAGAAAAGTTCGTCCATCAAGGGATTTTGCTTGGAGGCCACGCGAAAAATCCCCATTAAAAACCCTCCATTTCTCTTCATACCTCACAATCAAGCACAACAAAGGTACATCATAATTTCCTTGAACTGCCCTTCATATCTCGAAATTTTTCCTTTTCTTATTTTCGTTTCTTGATCCGACCTCTGTTTTCGAGCAGGAACAAGGGAAATGGGGGACAAGAAGATGAAGAAGAAAGAGAAAAAATCATCCCCGGGAGCCGGCGGCCGCCGGGACGTCAAGCCGGAATCCGAACATCCGATCCTCCCAATCACCGTCGGTAAAAAAGACTGGCCACGGCAGAAGATTATACGTGACAACAAATCGGGATCCGGCGTGGTCACCAAGTCATGGGTAGTCCCATCTTCCTCCTCTTGCAACCTTAATCAGCCGCCGCGTAAGCATTCGTGGCCTCAGCTTGCCCTAATCGACATCCCTCCCGAAATCCGAACAACCAACGTTCCCGGAAAATACAGCCTGAAGGGTTTTTTCCATCGACGCCAAGCGAAATTGTATTCTAGCGACAAATTTCTCTGGGGCCCGGGCTGCTACAGTGGCTGGGGCCCGGACTATTACAATTACAATCTGCGCAGTGACAGCAGTGTCCACTTCAGACGCTGCCTAAGGTCCGGCGGCGCCGAACTCGTAATAACCGGCCTTACTTCACCGGCTTTCACATTCCCTAAAGGAGTCGACGAACAGTGGGTCGGCAATTACAGATATTACAGGCGTTATGTGTCGATAATGAAGAACTGCACGGTTATCGAGCCTTTCTCAACAACCGATCATCAATACATGGAGTTCACAAACCTTACCGCGCACCGAGAGAAATTCTACGCCATTAGCAGGCAGGGCAGCCTCGCGGTTATCGAGTACAGTGAAGGTTCAACGGATTACGAAATTACCCGTTTGGGGAAAAACCGAGCTGTCCCAAGTAAGGTATGCCGGCACTTTAGGGAGCATTTTTTCGTGTACAAAGGCGGAATCTTTTTGGTGTTTTTGCTGTCGAGGGCTTCGGTGGATGTGGTGGATGACGTGGAGGTTTTCGGGCTGGATGAGCCGAGTCTGTGTTGGAAGAAAGTCGAGAAGCTTCCAGATGATACCGTGTTTTTTGTGGAGGACAAGTGTTGCTTGGGGGTCTCGGCGAGTTTATTCGGGTGCAAAAGCGGGGAAAACTGCGTGTACTTCACGTACGAGAGGGCCGAAAATTGGTTTTGTTTCAACATGAAAACGAGCCGCATTTCGGCTACAGAGGGACCCGTGGACGATCTTGATTAACTCAGTTAGTTTGAATTTTCCAGCTGAATTTTCGTATAATTTTTGTTTGGAAGTGGTGGCAAAAGTTTCATATGTTACTTTTTTTGTTGATTTGTGAAGTATGTGAGATGTTTTGTAGTTTCAACTGGAAATTGATGAACTCTCTGTATATGCTTTAACATATTTGTTTTTGTAACAAGATCTTATTAGTAACAAGCTACTAGGGGTAAGATGAAATGCATTTATCTTAAGGAACGAAAAACTTAATTTGAAAGGATGGTGTATTTACATTGGAAAGGAGAAAATCCAGAGATTTATTCCATTGGCATGAACTTTTCAATCCCATTTGTAAGATTTTCCTACTGTTATATAGAATGCTGAAGATGCTTCGATCGAGTGAATCATGAGGATTTTTTCAAGCCAAATTGGCCGTGGAATTGAAACAGAGACGATGAAAACTAAAACAAGCTCATGCAAACATTTGAATGATCGGTTATGCTGCTGAGAACATCCTCTGTCATTACAACATCGTCTTCTGTTTTGTTTTCAATCTCTGCCATTTGTTTTTGATACATGTTAGAACTTAGATAATAGAGTGAATTTCAATGTAATGTGGCACAGCTTGTTACTTAGTGTGGATTGAGTTTGTGTGAGTAAGCTTTAATTGGACTGCGTACTCTTAAATAGAGGTGAAACTGACTGTGTAGTGAAGGTTTTGGACTGCTCGAACCTTTGTCGAAGGAGAAAAAAAACGAGATGCCAGATGTCGGCAAATGAATGGATAAAATGTAGGAATTTCGGTGTGGATGGCTTGAAACACTTACCAGGTAAGGACACCGACACTTTGCAGTTACATTTGCAGATAATATATTGATACTGTTTCATACAATCAGTTAAACCTGTGACAAGAATTTGAGCAATATTATAAAAGCTTTTGAGAGTGTGCTTGTAAAAAGAATCTTTATGCCGACCAATTTTCAGTCATAGGGGCAAACAACTTTGGGGTTTGCTTCTAAAACCATTTGTATTGATTGTTGTAAACTTGTAATTTTATAGTAACCTTTGTCCAGGAAATATGTCTTGGTTTCATAAGTGCAACAATGACTAAAATATCATACTCACACGGTGTGTGTAAGTACAGTCATTGGTAGGATTGAATTTTTTTGAAATAGTAATATCTAATGACAAATTTCGATATTGTTGTATAAGTACTGTGGACACGTATGATTTTCGTTATTGATTTTTCTACAGAAAGGTAAAAACTACAAACTGATTTTACATTTGATGCTTAACATTAACACCTCTCGGAAATCAAGCTGCGATGGGGAACGAGAATCGCTCTGTCGCTCGTGTAGATGATTAAATGGCCTCCATCGGCAGTTTCTAAGGTACTATGATGGCTTATGCTAAATTCCCCTAATTTTACTGGGTATGAAAAACATTTTCTTCCTCGAGCTGCAATTTCCCTCCATTTTCTCGCCAATTTGATGAGCTAATCTTCTATGCGCTAATCGCCATGAGTTTTTGCTTGAGATTGATTTTTTTTTTGGTAAATGTGGAAGGGTTTGTTTGATAATTGTTGCTTTGATAGAAGAAAATGGTGAAGAGTTGCGATTTTTATATTGGGCATATTTATAGGCGAAGCGAGAATGCGGTTTTCTGATTGTGGGGTTTAGGGTTTGCAAGGCCATGTGGAATTTGGTCATTTCTTTTTTATTTTTCTCTGTGTATGACAGATAACATAATTTTGTCCAAGGTTGCTTGGGATGATTAGTAGCTGGATTGCCTGAACTTCTTAGAGCCACAAGAATGAAAAGCTGCTTTCTTGCTTTTGAGTCCACCTTCTCAAAAGTAACCTATTTTCCCCACCTCATTGTGATATGCGTGTTTAAACTCCAGGAGTTCAAAATCATGTGCTGGCTTGTTTTTATTTCGTACAGTATTTGATAAACGATAAATTATTTTTGTTTCTTTATTTGGTTAGAACAACAAAAGGGGTCCGATTGAGTGGGCTGTCAGCTGATTTATGAAACATTAGAAAAACGCACTAACTCTTGTGCATATCTGCACCCGTAAAGTTTATGTCCTCGTTAATGAATTGGGATATATATGATTGAGATTAGCTTAAAATTGGCTGCAAAGTCGTTAGGAAGGTTTACATGGAGCTTGTCCTGTTATTTTCTTTTCGACCCTTTTTGTGAAAGAAGATAGAATAAGAAACATGTTTTGTGTTTTAAAATTAGCTTGTAAGCACTGTGGTTTGAACAAGAACTTATAATTCAGTTATCTTCTCGAAGCTAGGAACTTCTATATGTGAACACCTATCATGTTTCGTTTCCCATTTTAACACTGAAAAACTTCACTAGTTATGTGAAAGCTCTGTATTATGTGAACTTGTATCCTTCCATTTTCATGGAATTCAACAAAATGAATACACAAGTTTAGATTTTCAAATCTTATTCTTGTTCTATTCAAAGAGGAATTGGAACTTCCTGAAAGTCTTTCTGTTAACCAATTTACAGATTGAATACATAATTATTACCAGGCCATTATCTTCAGGAAACAATGTATTTTATTGGTAAACTGCTTCAGTCAAAACTCCTTTACATGAGAATATGTACACAAAAGACGACATACTTTTCATGTTGTTTTTTCCAGGAAAGACATCATATTATCATATATTAGAGGTTCAAAACCTGGGGTTAGCTACATAATAATGCTTAACCACTTTGGGCTTCGATTTTTTCTTTTACTGTATGCTCTACATGTGTTATTGCAGCTTAGTCAAATGAATAGGCAACTGCCGATTCATCTGCTGTTCATACAAACACGATGGCAAGCAGTGGCTTTGAGCAACCAATTTAGGCAAAACCTTCTGCAAATCTCCTTCTTGGAAGTCTCCAGCCTCACCTTTTCTGATCAAGCACATGACACAATCCATCAAGACCGAATTACACGGTACTACTATAGGCCCATCTCTAGGCAATCCAAATTCCTCTTCAGACATCTTCAATAACTGTCTGAATATTGCATTATTCAGATAAGACAACGGAACCTCAAATCGCCTGTGATCAACCGTGTACACTGCAAAGTGTCCCTTGCCAAAGCAGCAGATTATGTTTTTTGGGGTAAAAATTGTTTCACGTTGAACTTCCGCGAAATTTTTCCACTTTTTAGCTATCTTAACGAGTCTCTTGGGACTTATCATTTTTCAGCTTGCTTCGGGAAGAAAAAAGATGAGCTTTTTTTGTGAATTATTTGCAGATGGATAATGGAAAAAAGTCGATGTGGGATTTTAAATGAAAGAATTTTGAGACAGAGATTAAGTTCTTGCTTAATATCAAGGGCTTCAAAGCCATGTGCCGAGAAGGATACATGGGATGGGAACCTCAGTCGACTGACACATGTCAACGGGAGATGAATTTAGGTATTGCATAAGAGAAATATACCTTCCTGTTTGCTGTTTGGTGTGGAAACATAATGGTCCTTTAGCTTTTGGCTTCCTTACAATAGAGCCACAATTATGAAAATCTGTTATAAGTAGAGTCAACAAATATACACAACACTAGTTCAGACCTGCCAACATTCTCATATTTGGATAGTTCTGTTTACAATCACATTGACAGGGGAATCTAATTGTTTGTCACATTGTCTGAAAATTTGGACCTTGTTTCAATCAGATTTACAATCATGTGAGATATTCAGTAGAAGTGGTCATTCTTGGCCCAAACTCTAAACTGGGTTTGTGCACTTAGTTGGGCTCAGATTGCTTAGGCAGGTGTTTTCTTGGATCACACATGACACAAGTACAAAACTCCTTTGTGTGTACCCTATCATTTGCACATGCTACAAGATCTTGATAAATAGGCCCACTCTCTCTTGTAGATATTGTTTAGGCTTCAGCTTGAGTTTGTCTTTTGGAACTTCCGACCAAAAAGAGTGCCTAATAGATTTGAGATGAGCTGAATTTATTAACCGGACAACAAAGTGCAACTGAGTGGTAAGACGCTTCACCTATGACCCATATAGGTCATGGGTTCGAATTACCGAGAATGGGAAGTGAGAACATTCCTCTGTTTGTTTATAACCAAAATCAGCTGGGGAATTTGAATAAATTTGGGATTTAAAAATGTGGGGAAAACTTGTGTGAATTTTCCTCATACAAAATTATCAAGAATGCACACCGAAAGTGCAAAGTTCTGTCGAGTCCTTTTCCCTCACAAAAAATTGAAAGTTCGAAGAAGTTTCAATCTTGAGCAATAAATATTGGAACTATGAAAAAAAAAAAAATGCTGTCAGAAAATAGGAGAAATGGAACTGGTTACATTTTTCCAATTATACTAATGATAATTATTAGAATAATAAATTTATGAGTGCCTTTGTCTAATTGGGAAAAATTGCAATTTAGTATGTTGTTTTAATAAGACTTCGGTTTGGAAAACTTATTTCGAGCGTAATTTCATGATTGTCAAATAGAGCTCCAATTGAGCTGCATGTAATTAAATTCTAAAAATTAAAAGGTTTCATTTATGTTGTTGTGAGCATTGTTGGGACAAAAATGACAAACTTCTTGCAGGAAATTAACCCTAATTTTTGCCAGGAAAATCCCTGAGTCATTTCAGTAATTTCAAAATTCGCGGTACATTTAAATACGATAAACTTCATAAGATGAACTTGGGTTAACAATATTAATTACCAATGAGGAAACTGCCTTAGAATTTCATTTCGAGATCGAATTTTTACCAATTTCGACACAAAGCCGTACAATCGCATGACTGAAATTGCAATATTTGTACTTGTCAAAATGAGGTCTAATTAATAAATATTAGGTTTAATTAAGAGGGAAAGGGATTAATGACTTAGTCAAATTGGGATTTGAGAGTAATAATCTGATTATAAGTGGGGGCAAAACAATGGAGCCCAGATGGTGTTGACGCCTATGAATGATAAAAAGACCTTTACTTTTCGAGTCAACTCAACTGTGGGAAGCATTGAAAACATATACTTTCTCTGTGTGTGTGTGTGGGTTTTTNAAAGAGAAGTTTTTGTTTTATGTTTTAAATATATATATATATATATATTTTATATATATTTAGATTGACACTTATCACATGACTTACCTCTTCTATACTATAATCCTTTTTTTAATAAATTATATAATTTGATAATTAAATAGTTCTACCTAAGTTTTAACATCACTTGAACATTTTCCAAAGACTGACCATTTCAAAAGGAAAATCTCCATCTCGAGCGACTCAACAAATTCAAAATTCCTCCTCACATTCAATCTCTCATTCTCTAAGATTGAGACCCCGCAATTAGAAGCCAAAAAAACAAAACATCCCTACAAAAGTTATCACATTACAAAATTGTAGAAAACTTAACTACGAAAACCGCGTGAAAAAGGAGAACTTTCAATTAGTCTTTGTCCATTAACAAGACTTCAAAACATGTCCCCACACCAAACATTTTCCTCGTAAATGGACAACACAAACATAGTTTAACACTCATGCTATCAAACATTTGCTGCAGTATAAATTGGGCCTTTATATAGCCAACTGCTTAACTCTAAAACAATAAAAAAAGAAAATAATAATAATAAAAAAAAATTACATAGATATATCTTTCATTTTGTGTTCAATCCATGGATACTCCACCACAATCTTCCGAGCTCGATCTTCCGGGATTCAGATTTCACCCGACCGAAGAAGAGCTCCTTAACTTCTACCTTCGAAGCATGGTTTTCGGCAAGAAATTACGAGACGACATCATCGGTTTTCTCAACATCTACAAGCATGATCCTACGGAGTTACCTGGTAATTAATTAATAATAACTTCTTTTTTACCGCATTTCGAGTTGCTATTGTTCGTCTTCTTTTTTACCGCATTAATAATAAATGTTATATGCTCTCGATTTTCGTGAAAAAAAAAACCGCAGGCCTGGCAAAAATTGATGGAAGGGAGTGGTATTTTTTCGTGCCAAGGGACAGGAAAAACGGGAGCAGCGTAGGAAGGCCAAACAGGACAACCGAAACCGGGTTTTGGAAGGCAACTGGGTCGGATCGCAAGATACTCAGCATAACCGACCCGAAGAAGAAGATTCTCGGGCTGAAGAAAACGCTCGTTTTTTACGAGGGCCGGGCCCCACGCGGAAGGAAAACCGATTGGATCATGAACGAGTATCGCTTGCCCGATTCTTGCTCCCCACCTAAGGTAATTGTTTTTAAAAAATAAAAAAACGTAACTTTTCTAACCGGGTTATTACAAGAGTGTCTTTTTAACCGAATTTGCACGTGC